ACAAATAATATCGGGTCAACTGAGGCCAGGGCTCTGCAGTAACTGGAGGCAGAAACAAAGAACAGCTACAACTTTGCCTCCAACTTCAAAAATGGATCGGTCCAAAATCTGAAAGTCAAGCTGACTGTCAAGGGAGACCATTTCATCGCACCCAGCTTAGTCACTTTCCCAGCATTCCTGTGGTGTGGTGGTGCTGACCCTGAGAATGTTTCCATCCATCCAACATAAGAAATCCTCTCCTGTGACTACATGACAAGATGTAGCAGCAAACAGGGGGATGGGAAGGGTAAACAGACGAGGAACAGACGAAGAAAAGCAGGTTGCCCCTAAGGCATATAATCGATGTCCGAGGGCATTTTGTATTCACGGTCCTCCGAGTGACACTACATGATGTCTTCACCTTGAGACAAACACAAGCAGAGGTAGTGTGTGTGATGTTAGACACAAGAAGGGGTTGATCCAATACTGGAACAGTGGAATGAATCACAGCTGGTAAATATATCCATTATGGATCATAATAAGCCTAATGTTGCAGCTCTTAGGCCTCTCGTGGTAATAATGGTATCGACTTGTGGACGATACATGGACATGAACTCGACCATTTTAGCTGACCTTGGTAATGCCCGTTGTGTTTACCTGCATGTTTGTTTACCTTACAATGTCACATTTGAGCCAACAGAATAAACTGTCATATAAGAGTCAAGACACCATATTCATATTCTTTACAGAATTACTCAAAATAGTTGGCTCTCAATTCAATAGTTTACAACAAATTGCTTAATTTCTGCAGCTCTAATGAATAAGTTACTTGTGAATGAATTCACCTACGTACATATTGCGTGTTGTCTTTACATGCTATGTTTGTTTAGATACTAATGTCAAATGTAAGCCTATATAAAGTCAAGACATGGCACATTTTTGTTAGCGGGGCCAAAGATTCCATTTTATTCCAGTTCATTGCTCTTTGAAAGGGTGCATTATGTTGTTACTATATTATCATGATATAAGTTGCATGACATTTTCTTAAAATTACAATATCGCTTTAAGACTTAATGTCATGGGCATAATATCCAACTTAAGCAAAAGTGTTTATTGTGTCAGCTACCATCACCAAAAGGAACCAGTAGCTGTGAGATGTTGGGTCAGTGGGACGTGTTGGAGGGAAATCGACACAGACACAACACTGTGTACCAGCAGACAAGGAGAATGAGGGTGTGTATGTTTTCACGCGCCACTTTTTTCACACGTCCTCGCCGTGACACCACTCGTCGACATCGAGAACTCTGGTTCACCCCGCTCCAGCTGTTGAGGAGAGGGCAACCGCAGGGCAGGGAGATTTCTCTTGCCTATTATGACGGGACGAACATACACACACACACACACACACGTGCACACACACACACACAACTATATACCCACATGGATATACACACAAAGGCTCAGCATCGAGCCCATCCCACCTAATGGCCGTAGCCTCATATTGCTAACGGGCGCTCAGGGAGGCAATGAGGTTTGCCATCTATATATCCATGACCCCTGGTTGACTTCTCTCTCCCATTCAACTCCCCCTTCATGACCTGGCATTGGCACGCTATTAGGGTGAGAAGGGGGGAGACAGAAATTGGGTCTGGGACCCCGTTTGAATGGAGCGCTCAGACACAAATATAAGCGTGTTGAGTACACAAATCTCCTCGCAAATGGGGTCAAAGCCAGTGCTTAGCTATTTGTTTTCATTCCCCCCCTCCTCACTGCCTTCACTCACTCTCACACACACACACACACACACACACACACACACACACACACACACACTCTCGCCCTTTACTTGGGAAATCATAACTGTTAGCAATCATGCGGGGCAATATGGCAATGATGCAGCGCTGGAAGAGTGGGAGAACGGAGGAGAGCGATCATGCAACATCGACTCTGTCTTCCACGCACGCACAGTTTATATCTCTTTGACGCATATGTCACTCGAAGAGACTAACAGATACATCAAGCGACAACACACCAACAGACACACGTGATTGAGCCGCAATAAGGTTGCATCCTCTGGAGAGAGATAGGAAGGCAACATCAAAAGAAAGAAGCAGCGAGGAGGGATAAACAGGCTTGTGTGAATGCCAGACGGAAATGTCAATTCCGCATGCCCCATCTAGCCCGAAGATGACGAGACTCACAAACAAAAGGAAAATCTCCCTGTTCATGTCCACACATTCATTTGAAATATTTGACTGGTGCACAATTTCACTGATGCAACAGGGTGGGATTTTGTTGTGCTCAAGCTCCTTCTATGACAACAATAGGTTTGAATATACAGAATGTCCTACTTACTGGTGCAATGTGAAGTAGGGCTGCTACCAACACTTGTTCTTATTGTGGATTATGTTCTTGATTCAGTTATTATTTGCCCGATAACAATCGATGTATCTCTGCAGCTCTTGTGAAGTCACCTATGTATTAACTCACTCTTCTTTAATAACCACAGTGAGGAATGCATTACTTTGTTTGTGTTCCCATATGGTTTGTGAGGCAGAGGATCGGGCCGATCGGTAGCTGAGTCAGAAGACAGAGGAGTTTGATCTCCGTTTGTCTTAAGAGTCGGCCATCTGCAGCCAAGCAGGTCAGTGGCCGTTTCTCAATGTCGAGTATACCTGCTGCAGAGCCACTATTTCAAGTATACTACGTCATGGAGTGGCGCCGAATGCTGGGCATTTAACATGCATTTAAACAGTCCTTCGGCGCCACTCGGTGACGTAGTACACTTGAAATAGTGGCTCTGCAGCAGGTATACTCGACATTGAGAAACGGCCACTGTGTTAGGCCGACCCCATGTGACTGCAGCCTGCTCTCTGGGCTAATCCTACTTCATGTGTGCATGTGCTTCTGTAGCTGCACAGACTTGTCCACACACAAACACACACACACAGGGGCCAGGTAAAGCCAGGAGCCAGTCAAAACAGTGTTTAAGGCTGCTTTAGTTTCCTTAAGATCTGCTGGCTGTCTGATAACCCGAGTGACACACGAGCCAATGATGGGCCACTATGCTGGCACATAGTAGCTCCAACGGGTTTATTTACATGCTGGTTGTTAGAATGCGTGTGCGCACGTCTGCAGGCATCTAGAGAAGGGGATTTATGACATGCGATGTGTGGTCTCGTGTCAGAACGCACTTAATTAGTGTTTATGTCCGTGCCATTCGGCGTTTCCCCTTTTGAATGCAGTTGAATGGTTTAATGTGTGTGTACATATGTCCCTGGCCCTTTAGAAGCAGAGGTTAGCAGCCGGCTGCTCTCTGATCAGGTTACAGAAGTGGGTGTGTCTCCTCTCTCCTCTGTCGCCTGCATGTCTGCCTCTCCCTCTTTCTGTCTCTCTTGCTTTCTTCTCCCTCTCTCCTTACTGGTTGCAGAGGCCTGTAGTTTGCGTCATCCAGTCCTCTTCCTCTGGCAGCACTACACACCACCTCTCTCTTGTCTTGAGTTGCTCTCCGTTCCTTTCTTCCTGTCTTTCTCTCAGCCATCTCCACTGCAGCTGGTCCACACTCCCTACAGGAGGCTGGGAGGCATGTGACTCTCCCCCCTGACCTCCATGTCTGCTGAACACTGGCCCACCAGCCGCCCACCCATCACCTCTCTGATGTTCCTCGTCTGGACCAGGGCGGGCACTCCTGAGATTCTGCCACTCATAATCACCCAAAAAATATAACGCCTACCCACTTGGTTCAGTGAGGTCTTTCTAATGTTTTCTGACCCGATACCCCTGTCCACCCCAACACAATCTGATAAATATGGGTGGGAATGGGATTCAAGATTTGTATCTTCTAAGATTCTATCAAATAACCTGGATATTGCTACTAGTAGAAGTCATTTAAAAAACATTTCTGTGGATTTGCTGATAAATTTCCCATTATAAAATGTATAGTGTTATTTTGTGTACAATTCATTTTTACAATTGGCGTTTTGAGACATAAAAAACATTTTGTTTGTGTAACAGGTAGTTTTTGTTGTATAACTGTGACTAAGAATTGAGAAATACAAATTTCGGTAGAACTTTTGCCTTTTTCAGTTTATATTATTGCAAGAAGTTGATATTACTTTTTCCAAAAATAGAAACTCCATAATCTTAGCCACACTTTACACGTCAAAATGTGCCACACCGCATCCATTAGCACACAGTGGATTAGACTAGACCCTGAAATAAGCACAAACATGTACTGATATAAGAACAATTTAGGATTCTGATTTGAAATGTGACCGTAAACGATAAGGAGAGATTGGTATCCCCACGGATAATGTTTGAACACAGAGATGCAGACTCCACTTTGTAGAGAGACCCTCACTGGCATATTTCTGATCCTACAGATGTTGCTCCACCCATCTCAGCCACTACTAAAATAACTTTGCAATGTGCTATCTGCTGGAAACCACAACACCATATGCTGCATGAACACTCACAACTAACAATCACACAGTCGGTGCCCATACTGTGCTGTAGTACATTACAGCGCTCTAGGCCACAACCTATTTGAATGAAAGAGAGAAGAAACAGTGCCAACGTCTCGGGTGTTGCCAGCTGGTAGATCTGGACAAATCTGGGTGTGCAACAGCTATTATGTAAGTAGAGAGTGCTGATTGGATTGCAAAAAGAAAGAGAGTGTTTTCTGTTACTTCCACAGATCCCACTTGCTTTCTTTCTGTTACTCCACAGTTTTAACTGAGGAGCCAGCAGATTGTCACTATTTTCTCGGCTAGAGTTGGTGTTGTTTAACAGGATATCCGTTATCTTATCTGATGAATGTGATGCCAACAGATCAAAGTGCTTTCCACCCACTTATCTTTTTCTAGAGTAATGTGTACAATAAAACTTTGCTACCTCAGCTGACCAGCAACATCCGATAGTTGCGCAATAATGAAATGTGTATTATTAAATGTGTGTAAGTGTGATGTGCATGTACACAGCTTTACATGTGAGTTTCAAGTAGATGTGTGTATAGACATTACCTTGTCTTTCTCATGGGGCAACAACCGGACAGGAGGCAGTGATCCCAGAGACACCGTCCCGGTCCCGTCATCCAGGTTGTTGCTGCTGCGGCTGATGAGCTGGAACATGGGACCCTGCTTGGCCACGCGTCCATGGGCCACTGCCCTCTTCAGGGCCACCCTCAGCTGCTGGTGGAAGATGCCGGGCCCCATGGAGCCGCTGCCTGAAAGGTAGGCCGCCACATCAGCCTGGCACTTGAGAAAGCGCTCAATGTTCTTTAAGCAGGAGCCGCCAGGCTCATGGAGCCCTTCCAGTGCCCGCTTTATCAACTTGTTCCACTCGAGTCCCGGTTTCTTCACCGAATGGGAGTGTGAACTACCACCACCACCACCTCCACTGCTGCTTCCACCTCCTCCACCTCCACCTCCTCCTCCTCCACCTCCTCCTCCTCCTCCTCCTCCTCCACCACCACCTCCTCCTCCTCCTCCTCCTCCTCCCCCAGAGCTGCCACCACCTTTGGGCTTGGGCAGAGCCAAGCGTCCAGGGTTGTCAGGGTCCTTGTAGGAGTTGAGACCTTTGTTTGTGACCTTAAGGATGGTACCATCCTTGACGCTAAGCTCCAACTGCTCCAAAACAGTTTTGCGGTCCAAACCATGGGACATGTTGACCGCATTGCAAATGCGCTCCTCGGATGGTCGCTGCTTCTGCTTCTTCACCTTCTTGATGGCCTCTAGGATCCATTGGGTGTACGTTGGGTTGGCCAGTTTCACCATGGTTGCAGTCAGGGTGGGTGCAGGGGCCCTGAAGCCTCACCGCAATGACCCAAACACAAAAAAGGAACTGTAAGCCAAGGAGACTCCTGGCCTGCGCCGTAGCGCCGCCTCCTCCTTCTCTTTTGCCCTCTGTCTGCGTACTATCCCTTGTCCTGGGGACGCACAGAGAGTCCCTCAGAGGCTGAGTATGAGCAACACGGTGATGAGCAGTTAACCATAGCACAGCCCCGAGCAAACCCTCCACCCAGTAAAATGCCGTCCACTCACCACCCACTCCCAGCCAGGTGAAGGTCCCTGGCGAGAGGCAGGGGGAGTGGAGGAAGTTGCAGGTCTGTTAGCAACGTAAACTCCCACAGCACACAAAGAAGGGTAGAGTAGATCTTGGCGATAAGGGCTTTGAAATGTTGGTGTTCCCACTTGTAGCAAAACACCTTTACAAAGACAATAAAACCTGATAGGTCAGTTTCCTGCCACCGGCAAACTAACCAATTCTCAATGCAAGTCAGGAAAGAAGATCATGGTATCCAAGAAATGAAATTTGTGTTTCAATGATTACGATGAGGGCAATGCAGTCTGTAGATTATAACATTCCACACGACAGGAACTATTTTCTGATTCCACGTTTCCTCCTTGTCGTTTCTTGCTTGCTTTTACTCTTCCAGCAGTCTGGGATTCTCAGCTCTGGGACGGAACAGATATCTCACCCCAGGGATCAGCCACGACTGATCACCTTCCCGCCTTTTGCACTTCAGTAGCTGTCAAACCCTGCACAGAAAACACACAAAGACAAAGGTTAGCAAAAATCTTCCAGAAAAACCCAAACATTTTGATGAAGTAGTAAGCATAAACCGATAAAGTTAAGTCTTTAAAGGATGATGCGTTTGAATGAGAAACAGATAACATAAATAATTGTTATAAACATCACATACTGTCCCTCACATATGTATAAACAAAGCCATGCATGTCCTTAAAAAGCACTAGGACGTTTGCGCACTACCAAAAAAACTGGGAATTAAGAAGAGAAAGAATATTACTACTGTTACACAGCTTGATAATGTTTTTTATGAAACATAGAACCTATATATAATAACAACAAACTGGTAACATTATGACCATAAACCATAAACAACCACTAAAGATGGCACAGGTGTGTCTTAACATGATGGAAATTATCATGTATAAAAAGGTAAACAACATCATCGTAAAAGGTTCACTTGCAAGTTGACCATAGGGCTTGTTGGGTTGGTAAGGTAGACATCATGCATGTCCTTAACAAGCACTAGGTAGTTTGGTTAAGCACTACCAAAAAACTGTAAATTAAGAAGAGGAAGAATCTGACTACTGTTACACAGCTTGATAATGTTTTTTATGCACCATACAACTCTTATATGCAACAGCAAGAGTAGTCGAACAGGTGAATGAGCATACCCCTAAACAACCACTAAAATGGCACACGTGTGTTATAACATGATGGAAATTACCCTGTATAAAAAGGTAAACAACCTCTTCCTAAAAACTTCACTTGCAAGTTGACCATAGGGCCAGTTGGGTTGCTAAGGTAAACATGATGCAGTCAAAACACAGACTGTTAGCAAACATTAGCTGAGATGCTAGCCAAAAAAAACAGAGCTAATTCAATTGCCGCATTGCCAAACTGTCTCCTGCTTTGCTATTTACTCTCTCTGATATGATATGATGTTGCTCAGTGTCTGACAACAAGCCTTCCCGCTTACTGCTGTTGTTTAGCGAGCTAACGGTAGAAGCTAGCCACCGAGCTAACGTTACGGTAATGTTACTGAAACGTAAACAGCCTGAAACGAGCAGTTAGCCTGTGCTCCGGCTCCAAATGCAAAGGTTTCCCCCTTTAAGTAATATTTCAGACAACACTGAGCATCCAACCGAGGGAAACAATCTCCTTTTGAATGTCATTCAGATATAAACGGTAAACCGCGGCCTTGTAAAAGGGCACAATGCAACTTACAGACGGCCATCGCGGCTAGCGGGCAAGTGCAGAGAAAATAGAGAGTCTGCAGCACTACATGCTAAACGGCCTCCTTGTTAGCCCTTTTCTCTGGGCGAGGAGCCCGCTTAGACTCGCTGACTTCCTCCCTCCCACGTAACCACACAGCCTGCGGTACGGTGAACACAAGGCCGCTGGAGCCGATGATATAGGCCTCCTTTTCCTCCTCCGTAACCCCCCACACCCACCTCCGCGATCATCATCCCCTCCGTACCCCTCTCTCCCTCTCGCGGTTCCCCCCAGAAAAGCCCGAGCTGGTGGTCCCGGTTCTGGTATCCAAAGGGGAAGTAAAGCACACCGTGTAAAAAAACCGCTTAGATCTCCCATCCGGCGTCCGCTGCTACTCACCGGGAATTCAGTGTCCAACCGCCGCGGAGAAGGTGCCAAAAATCGTGCGTAATGGAGACAACAACAAGGCTAAAAAATGCAGCCACAGAGCAGGGGTTCTAGAGCCGACGCCATCTTTGAGTGAAACAGGAGCGCGGAGGTGGGGGAGGGGGGAACAGAGAACCGTCAGGCAGGGCCAAGGGACCGTCTGCATGGTGCGAGAAGAAGATCCAGGGGAGGGAAAATTCACTGCAAGACGCATGGGGGAGGCGGGGGGGTGCTGTTGCTATGAGAGGGGTGTGGATATTGCTGGAGCACATGAAATGGAAGAAAGGGACAGATGGTGGTGGTGCTGGAGGAAGGAAAAAAATAAAAAGAGTCGATAGGTGTTCTCGCATTCTGAGATTCAAGGGAGAGTCTGCATTTTGCACAGCAGTTGTAGAAGAAAAAAAGAAATCAAAGCCAATGAGCGTGCCTTAACGTTAGAGGGTATTTAAAGATCAAAGTGAGACACCCCTCCACACTGCAGTGTATTGTAGCAGCTGTGTGTTTTTTATAAAGATGGGAAGGGAGCCACACGGATTCTGTCCCCCGGAGGTGATTCAAGATTCAAAGGCTTTATTGGCATATGCACACTACAGTGTAGTTATGGGAAAGAACATCTTAAGTCCCAGGCTCTTCCAACAATGCAACATAAATATATATAAGACACATAACAATACAAAAATAATAAAAATAGTGAAACAGGAAACTGAGTAGAAATGAAAGTGCAAGATTAAGTTGCAAGACCAATGTGCAAGTAATGCAGGAGAAGAGAACTTCATGTCAAATACAATAAAATACTAAATGAAATGTTGCAGAGACTGTTGTAAGTGACCACGATTTACGTGTCTATATACATGTTAAATAGATGATCAGATTTTACAGTGTGTGTGTAGCTACTAAAACACACGATAAAGCATGGTAATATATATATATAGTCTGCTAATCATTGCTCCTCAGACTGTGAGTATTATCTTTACACCTAAGAACATTATTATATAAGCTGTCTGCAGCTGATCTACTTTTTTTTTTTTTTGTGCATTTCATAAAATGTTAGCTGAGTCTATTTTCTCATGATTTATGTTTAATTTTAACAGCGCTCAGTGCAACATAAATCACAGCATCTGGTAACAGATGGATGCAACGTAATGTAAAGGCATCACATTTAATCTCCAGTGTGCTCAATTCAAAAGTAATTTACACTTAGTATAAACAATTCATGCATACTTATAGGTCTAATAAAGTTAATCATAACATTAAATATGCAGTTTAATCCAAGATCAAATGTACATTAAAGAGCCTTGAACATTGTCTTCAGTGGTCGTAATGTTTGTTAAATGTCCTTATTTTTTGTCTAAAATATTCATCTTTGTTGATGTGCAAATGGAGCTAATGCGATGCAAAAGAATATGATCTTATCGCTATAAAGAAAATTAAAACTAGCATTAAAAGCGAGACTATTAAACATGCCTCAAAACACAAGAGATGTGCAAAGTATCCCATGATGTCTTGTAATTTATCAATCTACCTTGGGGACATTCAAACAACTTAAGTACACTCTACTAATTCATGAGAAAAACAATCAATGAAGGAAAACTGATTTTGCTGATTCAATTTCATGATCGTGGTGATACAGAGGCACTTGTGTTGGAAATCTGGCAGCAATCTTCCTTTTCTATTACAGCCGTACACTGAAAGCTCCCTGGATGGAAATTAAATTATCTGCAGCTTTGTGTAAAATGATGTGTACAGCAGTCCTCAGAGACGGATTATAGAGTGTCTTATAGGGAGCAATTAGACCTGAGCTGTTCCCATGTAGAGGTGTCGTGTGAGAGGGTGAACTCATGGTGATCAAATAAAAAGCAGTAAGGTCACACTTGTTTGTCTTGTACTTCTTCGGGGACGGATAAATCACACTCCAACGACAGGGCAGTAATTATAATTAACGGCAGTGTTATTACACAGATAAATAGTGTGAAGCGTTAACACAAGAACCGCTATTAGTGCGCCTCCTGAGGACTCACATATTATATCAGTGTGTACAGTACGGGCTAACAGATGGACGATACTCAGGAGGAGCGTGCACCGCATCTATCGTTCCACGGCCATGAATAAATAATGTTGTGTGCCATGATCTACAGCAGAGGCCATGTTCACCGATACACAACAGAAACAAACTGCCCCGGGTGGGAGGGATGGTGGAGGAGAATATGGAGTCTTTTTACTGTAGTTGTGATAAGATCGTATTGATTTTCAGTCAGAGAAATGGAGGCAGAAGCCTGGTCTAAATGAGTGTCGTCAACTTCTACAGTAATTGGAGAAATTAGATCAGGAAACTTAATTATAAAGAGGCCCTTTTCTGCTTTTGGGGTTTTCCCTTTCCTGTAGTGTGTTATATAGGTTTTTGTAAACAGTCTGCAAAGGATGAGTTCCCTCCAGAGGGAGTTTCTCTCCCACACACTCCCCCCCCCTGCCTGAAACAGCTGTTTGGACTCCTTTGTTTACTTCAGGAACATAGTGACATCACTAACACTTGTGCTTCTATTGGCTAGTGCTCCAACGCATTGTATGTGATAGGCTAAGGGGTTGACCAATCACAACAATATTTGTATACACATTCAAACATATTTATTTTTACTTCAAGGTGGGGTAGGTAATTCACTTCAGAAACACTTTTTGTTATATTCCATGGAATGCTCTTAACATCCCGATAGCAATGAATATATTAAATGCTTTGACAATAAATACATTAAAAAAAAATCATCTGTGGAAGCCGTAATACTGTAAAAAGCACGACCAATAATCTGAGCCGGCCCGGCTAAAACAACTGGATGGCCTACCTGCCTGTCAGCCATCCATCTGTGCACAAACTTATCTCGTGCCCTCATTGGTCATGTGTGCGTCCGTGTGTGTTGGAGGAGGGGCTCTGTAAGGAAGTCTGAAGGAAGGAGCTTTCAAATTCTAGCGCACTCGAGCTGGTTTCTCCATTCTTACTTACCCTACCTTTAAACCGATATATTCCTGCACTTTAACTTTATCTGCATATTGAAGTATGAATGCTTGTTGTTGTCTTCTCCTGGATGTTGTACGTCTCATGTTTGTTTTTTGTATTTTGATGGCACCTTAAAAAAAGGAGTAGCTCTACTCATCTCATTGTACATAATGACAATAAAGGATTCTATTCTATTCTATTCAAACAGAGCCGGCCAGCTAACCAATCAGAACAGACTGGGCTCTGGTTTCAGACAGAGGGTGAAAAGAGGTGCTGCAGCACAGGCAGTATGAGAAAAATAAAGAGCTTTTTCAACATTAAAGCATGGAGACATGTCACAGGCATACAAATAGTAATATGAACCTAAATATGTCCTCTTTAATTTACACATATTGTCATTAATGTTAACTCGCTTTTTACAAGATGTTTAGCATTATTCAAATATAACTTTTATAGCAAATGTCACAGAAAAGTACTGTAAAATAATGAAAACATACTTTTATGTATCTGGCACAGTGCCCCTGGGGATATTAGGCTTTCAACACGAGCTTCATCTTTTAATTCCCTTTTAAAAACACACTTTTATCTATAAGCTTTAATGTTCTTCATCACATTTTTGTTAAGTGCTTTGTTAGTAGGACAGTAATCATACATTAACACATGACGCGCCTCGTCCCTCTTACTACCAAACACATTCTCCTAAACATGCCGCTCTATTTAAGCTGCCAGGTCTTCCTGCCTCTGCCTCGCTATGCTGCTGCTGCCACTGCTGTGCTCACTTGCTATTGCTGCGTTCATGTTCCTGCTGCTGTGTTTCATGTTGCTGCTGCTCGCCTGCCCCAGCTCCACCCCAGCTTCCACCTGTAGGCTCGGGGGATAGTTATCTAATCATCACTCAATGTTCTTTGTTAATCTGTGGAGTGATGAGGCCCGAGCCTAGACGCCAAACTTAAAGGGGACCTATCGTGCAAAATGCACTTTTGTACGTCTTTTATACATGAATATGTGTCCCCGGTGTTCCAGGGAACTCACCAAGTGTCAAAAAACACAACCCTCTCTATTTTCCTCCATACCCAAATCTCTAAAAAAGGGGGCTGCAACGGATCTGATAAAAACTGATCCAGATTTGAACACTGTCCTGACGTCAGGACAGTGACGCTACGGCTATTGGGCCAACTCCACCAATCAGGAGGAGACAGCCACGGCCATTGACGTTCGAAAGCGCTGGAGACGCTGTAGTACATATGCCAGGCCTGTAGATGGTGCTGTTCTCACTGAATCTGCCCTTGCTAAAACAGATCTAAAAAATGTCAAATTGAGCAAAATGAGGCATGGCTAAAATGCATGATCTGTTTGGTATTTTGAAAAAAAAAAAGTATAAATATGCCTTATATAGGTATGGTCCTACACTATATTATTCAAATATAGCATGATAGGTCCACTTTAAACTATATATGCTGCTTTTAATAAACATATTAAGAACACGTGAGTTGTCTGACTGAAATTAGGTTATGATTAAACAGCTGACATGTCTCTGTCCAAAGGTGACTACATTTTCATACCAGCACCTATAAAGATCCCATATTTAACTAGATGTTTACAATCTGTATTATAATTGATAGAATAACACTCAAAAACATTTATTATAATTCTTATTTGCATTGTTTGTTTCTCCTAAGCAGAGGGGATGTCTGGTTAAGCCTGTTGCTTCATCACCCCTTGTGTAACGTTTGTTAATTTTATATAACTGGATTTTATGCATTCTTATGTTTGTGCAAAAAACAAAGCAAAAACATGCATTTGTATTTGAACTGTTACTTTGCAAAGACCAGTGGACCTTTTCCTTTCATGAAAAATCTTACTATATATGCAAGGCAAGTTTATTTATATAGCATATTTCCATATATAATTTAAAGTGCTTTTTCAAAAACATTAACAGCATGTGCAAAAGACAACAAAATAAACTGCTATTTTAAAACACCAGTTTCCCTATTAGTTTCTATCATCTTTACAGCTGGGAAATTAGCATTGGGTAATAGCTTTAGCCCCCAACCCCAAATTGGTGTTTTGGTATGAGACCCTCAGCTTGTATTCTGTGTTTGGTGGAGAAAAGGAGACAGAAAGTAATCCTAAACCTCCTTTCATCCCCTTAATCCCCCCTCTTTTAATTTCTATTCTCTGAGC